TTTACTCTAATCGCTTTGCACGTTGAAACTATGAAGGTTGCACTGGGTCATGAAAAGTACTAATGTGCACTTGCAATAATGCACATTTTACACATAATCTCTGCAATAATATTTGTATTTTTGATTGCTTTAATAATATATTATATTTTTAGAATTATATGATTGGAGTCTGGAGATGCACTATATTGAAAAATATAGCAATTGTCTCGATCTTTTATAAAATGCACTTTTATTTTGGAGCTTGTGCAACAATAATTTGAGTAGTTGTTCATCCATGTTTATTTCGAAATTAAAAATACCTCGTATTTCAAACCATTTCTTTTTTATAAATGCTTCAATCCATTTGCACACTCTATGAAGTTAATTAAATATGCGCTTCTTCCACATTAAGTTTATTCCCGGAGTTTAATATTTATTTTGACACAATCGCATACTTGAAAAACTAGAAGTGCATAACTTTTCAATTTATTTGCATTATTTTGTTGTTAAAAGTGCACAACAAGTTATTAGTGTTGACTTTGAAGTATACGATTTGTTGTTGCAATCACATTTAGATAATGATTCACATTTATTGTTAATACGATGCTAATTTTTAAAAATTACAAAAGAGATCATATATGAAATGCTTGACATTCTTGAATGTATATGCACTATATTGAAACAACCATTCTTGGTGTACACGTTTTTATACTCATCAGTATACGCATGTGTCTGTGAGAGTGTTTTTTTGTCTGTGAAGCACAGTCCACAGACAAAAGCTGGCTTGTTTTGTCTGTGGAAAATTTCACAGACAAAACAAGCCAACTTATGTCTGTGGACTGCGCTTCACAGACAAAAAAAACTCTCACAGACACATGCGTGTACTGATGGGTATAAAAAAGGAATATTTCATATTGAAAAGTGTAACAATAAGTATCATGTCGATGTGCACTACACAAAACCGAAAAGTGCATCATAATCATGACGTGGTGATTAACTTACATACTCGATTTCATATTTTCCATGCATAAAAAATTACTCCGTACAAGAAAGATGAACTCATTGAACAAATTAAAAATTGTAAAACACGTTAGATTACACTTTCAAAAAGGGAAGTGAGTCCTCATAGTTCAATTGGTCCAATGATGTTGTCTTTGTGAGACATATCCGCCACTTAGTATTGCACCAAACTAGAACATGTGGAGATACTATGTTCTAGTTATGATTGATTCAGAGCTCTTCGTGGCCCTCGTAGACATGACAGAGGCAACATTGGAGAGGAAGGTAACAACCGGTGGCAGAAGTGGCAGCGAAGACATGACAGAAGCAACGATAGAGACATGACAGAAGTGACGGCGATTAATAGTCACATTTCAGTTTCACAAAAATTCTGGACAATAAAATTGGCACGGAGAAGGCAAGAATGAATAATGGAAAGCATAAAAGGGAGGCGAAATTAATATGGAAACCAATCATATGCTTTGCAAATTTGTTAAGGAAAGAGCATAAAGTCTTGATTTTGAGGGAGTGTTGTACGCTTATGCAAATTAAATGGGAATGAAAAGGACAATAATAGCCTTTGCCAACAGAAATCGTATAAGGATAATAGGGTGTGATCTAAGGGTCCATATTTATTCTTTTTTCTCTCCTAAGATAATTTTCTCGTTTGAACCTAAATCTATACAAGTATACAATACATGTTTATATACATTAATATATTCATGTAAGTATATTTTGAATATTCACATATAAAACATTTACTCTATTTCACATACTAACATATGCATGTAATTATAAAATTGTAAAATTACATCCCAGGCAATGCACAACTATTTTTTTTGGAATATCTTTCTAAATTTATTATAATATTTATTCATGACAATACTCAATTTTTATTTATTGAAATGAGACTCGAATCTGTTATTTTCTTTTCGGGAGATCAACAAATCAGACATGAGACCATAAGGTAGTTACAAATTTATTTTTTAAATAAGAAGATGTTGATTAAACATGTGCAAATTACCCGTATAGTTCATTTTGTGTCACTCATATTGTTCGTGTCCCAATAATTTTATCTTTTCATTTTTAACTTTTTTGTTTTCAATTATGTTTATATATTTCACTTTTAGACTATTCTGCCGTCATCCATCCCATCTACGGAGTAGATTAGAACTCACGCCTCAGCAAATAAGTGATTCCCTAATCTCCGGCTCCAGTCTCTGTGAAGCATCGACCCACATCCGCTCTTCTCATCCGCTCTCCTCTCTTTTCTCTGGCTCTCCGGCTCTCCGGATCTCCGGCCTCTGCGAAGCATCGACGCCAACCGCTCTCCTCTCTTTTCTCTGGCTCTCCGGCTCTCCGGATCTCCGGCCTCTGCGAAGCATCAACGCCAACCGCTCTCCTCTCTTTTCTCTGGCTCTCCGGCTCCTCGGATCTCCGGCCACTGTGAAGCATCGACGACACCCGCTCTCCTCTCTTTTCTCTGGCTCCTCGGCTCTCCGGATCTCCGGCCTCTGTGAAGCATCGACGCCAATTCAATCGCTCATAGGAAATTGATGCTACAGATTGCAGACTAACCATTCACGCCTCAGCAAATCAGCGATTCAGTGATTAAGTTTCTCAATTCTCAGGCTGTGTTGGTACGTTAGTTCTGCTACCCTCATATGTTTTCATTTACTTATTACAACCTTTTATTTTCAATTTAGTATTATCATTGTATAATAATTATAGATCTGTAATACTCCGTACTATTTTGGAGGAGTATCTGAAACATAAGGAGCTTCGAACTGAAGCCTTTCCTCCTACTCCTCTGAGCGTATGAATTTTGATTACCATTTCAGTGCACTATAAGTTGGTAGTAATTCCTTGATTCATGACCATTTGAATTATTATTAGTCATATTATATTCAATAGAGCTTGTATCATAATAAAATGCTTCAAAAGCTCTTAGAGCTTCTTGTAATTCGTTTGTGCTGTTACTCAAAAGAAAGTGTCAAACAAGCTATTCGACCAGACAAGTGTGATCCATTTGTTTAAAATTACAAAGCATTTAGGACTTCTTGCTACTGGAGTGACTGCTGATGCCAGGACATTAGTCCAACAACAAGGAATGAAATTTTAGTAGAAGTGTGATCCAACTGGTCTTTTTTCTATCAGTAGGCAACATCTAAGATCTCCTATTGACACATTTTTGGAGAACATGGTGTTTTTAGATGTTAAGTTATCTTTATAAGTAGTTCTAATATGCTCATCTAGTTTAAGATGTCATTGGGAGAGCTTGAGAAGCTAACTCATCTTGGAGAACTGATTCCCTGTGTTCTGTTTCAAGTTATCTCCAACAATTTCTGTAATATTTAAAACAAAATTGTGTTTATTACTTGAATTTAAAGGGTTAGTTTTATTTCATGTTCAACTAATCAATGGCAGGTGTATGTGGAAAGGTGTTGGACAATTGGAGATCTTAGTTTGAAAAGAATTCACTTGATTGGTAAAAGTGATGCAATTTTACCAACGTCTGAATTTGAAAATGTCTGAATATTCATATTCACTGGCAGCCTCTAGATATATTGTTTTTGTGTTACCAGGATAACGCGATGAAGTATGATGTGAGCACAAGATTGTACAAAAAAGGACATATTTGAGGCAGAGGATGAAACCAAGTCATTTAGTTCTGTTGGGAAGTTAGGTAATGAGAACACTTAAGCTTTGAAGGGAACTGCTAAGAAGGTGTCTATGCCAAAGGTGAAGCTCTTAAGGGAGAGAAGGGAGCAGCAGATCTATTTATTTAATGTCAAAAATAAAGTTGTGAATATTAGATTGAATTGAATATTTTTTGTGATACTCATGTATATTATTTTTGTTGCTTGTTGTTGTATCACATGTATTTCATGTTGTTGCATTGTGTTGCTTTTTGTTGTATATTGTTACTTTTTGTTGCATCGTGTTTCTCATAATTGTGTGTTGTTGATTCTGATTTTTGTTGTTTATTTAGATTTCTATTTATTTTTCTACATCTTTAAAATAGAAAAATCTATTTAGTTTTAGTCGAAATCACTTAGATACAAACACTTAAAATGTTAAAATTCGATTTATGAATATGAAAAGCAGCATGAAACATAAAGAAACAATAAGAAACAAAAAATTCATAATTATCAACAAAAAGAAACACAAAGAAATGATAAGAAAAAAAACTAACAATAGATTGATAATACTAATAATTAAAATTTTAGGTACTTTAAGAACAATCACATTAGAAAAATCGTATTTTTAAATTTTTTTAACAAGTAAATATTTTTCAAGTTCATCATTTTAATTTTTCATATTTTAATTGTATCAGGGATGAAAAAAAATATTTTAATTGTATTAGTTTATTTTAATTTTACACACTTTCAAGTTACATTAATTTCTGATTTTTTTATAATTTTATTATATATTTTTTAATATAAAAATTATGTAAAGTAATTTTTATTATATAAATTTTAATTTAAATTTTTTATTTTCTCAATTTCTAAACTTTTATAAATTGTTTGAATTTTTATTATTTTATCTAGTATTTATTCTAAAACTTTTACCTGTTCTAATTTTTTAAACTATTTTGATGTTTTTGATATTCTAAATTTTTTATTTTTAACTTACATTTTTTTGTGACATTTTAATAATTTTTTTTTTAAATTGATTAGTTTCAAGTGTTTGTAATAAAGTGATAGCAAGAGTGAACCATTCACACATTGGAAAAGTATAGGCGGCAGTACCCCGCGTTTCCGTAAGTGGATAGGTTCGAGTGGGGGTTATATGGACGAATGGTCTATTTGTGAAAAGCGAAAGTGAAGTAGTCTATTTTTGAAAAAGAAATAAAATGTGATAAAAAGTGATATTGTTTTCCTTTTGAGTCTCTTTGCGATATTTTCCCATTAAACATTGGACCAATTGAAGCGGACCCATGCCACCCTATGCGCTAATCACCAGTAGTGGCCTAGTGGGAAAGAAAAGGTCAAAAGAGTCTGCATTAATTAGGGTTTCTTTCTTATCTTTATCATTATTATTATTCAATCAATTACGTATTATTCACACAGCCATTAATATACATTCATTCATTCATAAGTTTATATCTACTCCTACAGCTCTCCTCTTTCTTCTTTCCACACTACACTTTCCCTTTCTCTCATGTCAAAGATTCCCTCACCTCTCTCCGCGTGAAGAACAACAAATCAAAGGTTCCCTCTTCTTTTCTTTCTCCTTAAGCTTCGGTTTTTCTTTTCTTTTTTCCGTAGAAGAATTGGATCTGTCTGCTACCCATGTCTTCCGATTAATAGGTCTCTCTGATGATTGGCGTAGTGTAGGGTTGATTTCCTGAAATTCATTATTTTCCCGATTTTTCTATAAAAAGGAGTTCTTTTTTTTTCTCCTTCCGTTGGAAAAGGGTTTTGGTAGGTAGGTGAAGTTATTGATGGGAGCATAGTTTGTTAGTTTTTTTAGCTGGTTTTCCAATCATGTTCCATGTGTTAGGTTTAGGTAGCTTTCTTCATTGGGGATTGATTGCATCTTACTCTTTAGGTGTTTGTATTTTAGAAGGTTTTAGTTTCTAGATGTAAATAATAATATAGAAAATAAATGTGTAATTTATCTGATCTTTTAGTTGAACTGGTCCACATTATTCACATTTTGATTCCTTCTCATGTGAACTGTAAAAGCCTAATGATGTATCTGAGTTTCAAGCTAACCGAAAATTCCCTCTTCCTCATAACCTCAGATGAAACTTCTGAGTGCAGAGTATTCTTTACCCAACTATATGTGAGTGATCATATGTGTCACACCGCTGTGTGATACTTGGTTGTGGGCCTTGTAGCAAAAGTTTAAATCTTCAGAGTTTTCTGATATATTCATTCCAGTTTCTGGGAAGGAAGAGGTTTGCATCTAATGTCTGTTTTATTTTTCCTTCTTAGAATTTTAGATATAGTTTCCTATTTGTTGTAATGATTGGAATCATATATATCTTGTATATGCAGCTTGGGATGCAGACTAGTAGCTCTTTGATAGGTATACCAATAAAGAAGAGAAGGTTTCCATTTGTTTTGCCTTCTTCGCCTCCAACCGAAGAACCATCTTCTTGTCATGATGAAAGTGATGCAAAGAAAAGACAATCCGGTTCTATCCCAAGATCATCCTTCAACCCTGTTGATGATATTAACTCTGCCAACAAGTCTGATCTCAGCAAAAATCCTCTTGTGGAGGGAAACCAAGAAAGGCTAGCTGATGTTAAAGAAGATGGTACCTCTACCAAACTTACCAAGCAACCTTCTGGAACCAAAGCTACTGAAGCTGATGATGTGTTTGTCCAACCTTCTGAGGAACCTTCTGGATTAAAACCCATTGAAGCAAATGCTTCATCCGTCCAGCTTATGGATGGATCTTCTGGATCCAAACCCTCCCACACAAAAAATTCATCTGTACAGTATACAGAAAAACACTCTGCATCTAGGCCTGCCGAAATGGAATTTATCTTGGACCAATCTACTTTGGATGGATCTAAATCTTTCCTATCTAGTAAGGTAACTTGCCCGTTTCAATCTTCCCAAGAAAACATTACTTTTGCCCAATCTAATGGGGAATCTTCTGGATCCAAACTCCAGGTGTCTAATGCAAAGGCTTGCTTATGTCATGCTGATAATGTTGACAATGGTGTCAAGGCAGATTTAGCTGAAAACAGCATTGGGGTTGTAGAGAACACTAATGTGGGTGTTAAGATGGAAACCATGATCAAACAAGATGACTGTCACATAAAAATCCAACCTTCTGTGCATCCGGGAAGTGCCAAATTGTCTACAGGACTATCACAAATGCAAATTAATTCTTTGGGACTGCAAGGTATAGGAGGTTCCGAGTTGTCTGGTAATTTAGATCCGTACTTGTTATCTCTGTCTTTAAACAAAGAAAAGGGAACAACTCAAATGGGAAATTCAAACAGTGTGTCAAGTAACGTTAGTCGTGATACTGATAGATCAAACTGGGATTTGAACACTACTATGGATACTTGGGAGAGTTCTGGTGAAGGCTTTCAAGAAAAGGATAATATATGCAACATGGGGAAGTCTAGTTTAAGCCCCTATGGTATGGATGGTGCTTGTAATGATAAAGGGAAGCAAGTCTGTGGCTCGCCTGAGCAGATATGTCATTTTTCAGCTACTTGTATACAATCTAGCCTGCCATACAAGTCTGCTGATTCACTTTGCCTTAGTCTTGGTAGTACTTTCCGTGGTTTGGATTTAAGCAGGGCTCAGTTCTGTTCAATGTCGTCCAAGGCAGACTCAATCTCACACTCTAATGCTCCTCCAAGAACCATTATGAACTTGAATTCTGTTGGTTGTGGAAATGTAAAGGAAGAACCTATTGATAACAGCTCACGACCGGATTACACTGGTTCTAGCAATAGTACTGCCAAAATACTGACTAGTAGTAATTCATTGAAATTGAAACTTATTGAGGAGGGAAACATAGAACCTATTAAAGTCGACATTCAAAAAGTGATTGAGAAAAAATCAATAAAATCTGAGCTTATGCAGGAACCTAATCAAGAAACATGCGAAAGGATGTCCAGCATGGAGTTGCACCAATCTGCTGGAAATGTTGCACCATCAAAAGAGTGTTCCACTTTTTGTGTGCCTTTGACACCTGAAAAGCCATTCACTACAAAACTGCCATCCTTTTCAGAGTTCTCCGTCAGTGGGGAGTTATCCAATCAATCTGAGCATTCTGTTCATACTAAAGAAGTCAACATTTGTAAGAATGCATTAGATCAGATAAATGCTGGTGTGGTTACAAGAAATGAACATTCTGCTCTAGAAGAACTAAATGCACCTGGTTCTAAGGCAGAGGTTGTGAATGTCGACAGTTCAAAAACATCCTATTTGAAGCAAGCTAATGAACAGCCTCATTCTCTGGCTGCAAGTGGTGAGGGATCTCTGAGTGGTGAACAAGATATGAATATATCAGCTGACATGGAAGAAGAATCTTATGGTTATGATTATGGATCGGATAGTCATCATCATACTTTTATTGAAGGAAGGTCTAGTGGAAAGGAAGATGACGATTATGAAGACGGTGAGGTGCGGGAGCCTGTATTAGAATCAAATTCAGAAAAGCCAATTGTTGAGGGATCAGATACAGAAAAGGTTATTGAATCCCATAGTTGTCCTGTGGGTGCTTTAGGTGATGATAATGTTGTTCAATCTGGTGTTGCAGGAAAAGATGAAACCATCATCTATCATCAGATGAGAACTATCACGAACTGTATGGAAGATTGTGGCGGGATCTCAGTTTCTGAAAAGATAGTTGACCAACTCTCAGAAAGGGATGGTTCTGCCTCAATCTCGATATCAGAAATTGTTCCAGAAATATGGTTCCATGATGCTATGCCTGCAAATGATGATACTCACCAGATGCATTTTGATAAAGGAGCAGACAATAGGCAAGGGGTGGACAGTATAGAGGGTGTTTTATGTGATGTATCGTTAAATGGAAGCAATGAGACAGGAGTTACTGTTTCCAAGATCTCTGTTGACGAGGATGCTATCGGAACTGACGAAGGAGAGAAGTTAAACTCCTGTTTGGTCAATCCAGAAACACCTTTAAATGGAAATGACTCAAAGGATTGTTGTGCAGTTAAGAGTAGGATTATCAATTTGCCACGGGCTTCTCATTCCACTTCCCCTAGTAAATCCAGACCTGTGGAAGGCGGCTTCTCATTGTCATCACGAAGTGGAAGGGGGCGATTCTTTGATGTACAGGATGGGAATTTCCATCCAAGTGGGAATAGGTGATATATATACACTCTTTAGCTCTACTAAAGTTTCTTTAATCTGTAATCATGTACAGAGTTTTATATATTTCCAGTTTTTTTTGCTGTGTTTAACAGTTGATAGCACTTGATTTTGTTTTTTCCTTTTTTAGAAGCGAAATGTATGGTGATGGTTCAAACAAATACACAAGAGACAGATTTCGAGAAAGGACATATGAAAGGTCCAACCAGGTAAGTTTCATGCGTGGAAGAGGACGAGGTTCGGGTCGTTTTGGTCGGACCCGCCGCGATTGGGACTCTGATCGCCATTTTAGCTATAATAATAATAATAACCGGATGGATGATTACAGTTTTGGTAGTAGACATAAACAACGTGCTTCTGCCATCGATGATGCTAATGTTGAACGGAATGACTTTGACATTTCACCATCTGACGGAGCTGTTTTGGGTCCATCAAGTAGAGGAAGGAAACTATTGAATAGCGGGTCCCCTTCTTTTCGGCATTCTTCATCAAGAAGACTTTCTCCTGTTGATAAGGGCATTCAAAGACATGGCACTAGGATCCCTAGAAACAATAGTCCCCCAAGTAGGTGTACTGATGAAGACAGTTCTGAGATGGTTGGACATGGGCATGGCGAGAGATTTGATATGATTGACTCCTCATATAATAGACGAGATGGGCAATTCACCCGCGGTAAGAAAATGTTCCCCACATCCATTCAAAGAAGAGGTGGTTATTCTAGAGTGCGATCAAAGTCTCCTGATGAATCATCTCAAAGACATTCCCCTTCTGCCCCTTGGTGTTCTTCTCGCCGAAGAGCTATGGAAGGATTAGATGAATCTCCAGTCATTTATCATCGTGTAGATAGGATGAGGTCTCCTGCAGAATGTGATCATTTTTCTGAAGATATGGCTCCTAGAAGGCGTAACTCCCCATCATACGCAGGTCCCCGTTCTACTAATAACATGAGGGATGTGGATGCTATGCACGAAAAAAGTCCTTCTAACCACCATCTCTTTGCCCGAAATGCCCGAAGACACGAAGGTATGAATCGTAGAGAGAGAGTGGATAACGACGACTACTATTGTGGGCCCGTAAATTCAAGCAGAAAGTATAGTGACAGACGGGGAATTTCCCATTCTTTCCGGCCTCCATATAATAATAACAATAATGAGAACGAGAATTTTCGTTTTCATCCTGGGGATGATGGACCTAGGAGTTTCAGGTGTTCTTCAGATGAAGATTCAGAGTTCTTGGAGAGAAACAGCACAAGGGAAAGGGAAAGGGAATTTGATGGGCGCATGAAAAACGGGACCAGAATTGCACATAGTTGGAGAATGAGAAATGCTGAAGAGCAAGAAGGGAACTATCGACCAAACGCCCCTCAAGTTTGGCATGGTGATGGGATGAAAAGGAGAAGGTTTTGACTTGTTTATGATAAGTCTTTGTAGATACTACTACCCTTAGCTCAAATATCAGCCAGCAGATATGAGCAAGACCGAAAGGAGATTTCCACACTACTGATTCCTCTAGACGATGAGAAAAACATTATAAGCTTGTTTCTCCACGATGTCTCAAGATTTGTTGAAATCGTTTTGATAGTTTGGTTGAGAATATTGCATGAGTGTGAAGATTTAATTTGGGGGCAAGATGGGGAAGAGAGCTTCTTTGACGTTTGTTTTTATAATATAATAATAATTACTTCACTGTTCAAATTTATGAGAAACCATCTGCACTTCATGTGGGTAACTATTCCAAAGTTGGCTGGTGTGAGGTTCATCTCTGGACATCATCTTACTCTGCATAGTGTTTTTTTTGGGGGGGGGGGGGGTGATCGATCTCCTGATTTGAAGAGAAGATGATTGTTTTGCTGACTATGAATCTGGTGGGAGTGAGTTTCTTCATTGAGAAGAAATTAAACCCTTTACTCCCTGGCTCTGTGGGGGCCCTCAATAAGTCTTCTGAGATGATCCTAAGGTGCCCAAGCTCCAGTTTGGAATACAAAAAAATCTATTGATTCTGTGTTTCGTTGTCCAGATATGATTTGGTGATTTACCCTAATGTTATGGATGTCAAGAGTCTGGTTTGGGGAGGATGACTGAAGGTTTGTTTAAAGCAACGTGAAAATGAAGACTTCATCCTTTCCTTAATGTATCACGTGTCTAAACCTTCAGTCTTAAAAAAGTGCTGTTTGAGCAAATGGAGATAAAGTTCAAAAGGTGCAAATAGGGTCAAAAGGAAATCTAATATGATAAAATCTTGCAAGTCATTAAAAAGGATCTAAAGTACTCAACCCATTTTTCATGAAAATTAAGAAAAAAAGTTGTGTAGAAAGATGTAAAAAGTAAGAGAGAATAAATGAAACATGCAATTATGTAGATTTGCAGTTATATTTAGTTAAAAAAAGGACGTACATTGAATTGCATCTGCTAATGTTAAAATCAATTTTAATAAAGTTTACATATTCAGAAATTACATTGAAAGGAATGTACAACACAAAATTCAAATAAGAATATTTTTTTATATGCTAAATAAGTTAATAATATGAAACTTTATTGACCAAGAAAAGTTGATTTTACAAATCATTTTAGGACAGAGTGAATAATATATTCAAATGCACTATTTGTATGGCTGGACTTAGGTCGATTTTGTAACGGTTAGTTCTTGTCTCCGAATTTGGGGTCAAAACTTATGGTTTTGGTTCTCGTCCACCGTGATTTTGTGTTAACTAGTAATTCCACCCGTGCTACGCACAGGAGTGAAGATGTTTGGATAAGTCATACATAAACTCAAAGAATTTCATAGTTAATTAACCTAACTCAAAACATAAAATTAAATATTAAAACAAAATAATCAAATTAAAGCATAAAATAAAATAAGTATTCATTTTTAATACGAAATTAAAAATGATGTTCAAAGTTAAGTACAAATCATGATGCGATATAATAACAATGAGTATGCATGTATGTAAAGCAAGGGAACTATAAATTAGTATAAACTTCTTTGTATACTACATTCAACGCTGATTTCGTTGGTTTCCTTTCTTTGTTACATATAATAAACTTTAACCCAAACGAACTTGTTACTCTCGAGACCGCCACGTACAAATGTCCATGCGGAAAAACAGGCCGACAGAGGAAGATGCCAATCTTTTCCAATGACTGTCCTTGACTCTTATTAATGGTCATTGCATAGTTAACCATTAACGGAAATTGTCTACGCAGAAAAGTGAACGGGAGACTAATAATGTCCAATGGTGTCAAAGTAAGGCAGGGAATAAGACACTTTTCGTCGGCATTTTCTCCGTGCATCATTTGATCCTCAATAATATGAGCTCCAAGTTTAGTGACCAGAAGACGTGTGCCATTGCACAATCCAAATGAATGATCTATTTTCCTCATAAGCATCATAGGAACTCCAACTTTCAGCTTCAACTCATGACTCGGCAAACCAGAACATTTGATACTATTAAGAAATTCAGGAGAATGTATCTCATTCAAGATATCATTACTATTTGAGTCAGATGAAGAAGCTGAATCTGAGCTTAGATATGTCTTTAACTCTGAATCTATCTGGCTTAACATGTAATCGTTGACTTTATCAACCTCATCTATGGTCGGAGCAAGAATAGCTCTGGAATAAAGATAATCAGATCACTTTGGGTTAAGAATCGGTATAAATAGCTTGAACTATAGATTCAACAGGATCAGACATCATTGGAGCGATCATATCGTCTAGTATATCAATGAGTGATTTTCCATCTTGATTTTCAGCAAAAGCTCCGTCACCAATCTTCAAAATCCACTCCGCAAAAGATTGGATAGTTGGTCCATCCGGCTGGCCGAGCATCCTTGCGAGCCTCATGTTTATAGTAAGCCTCACTACAATACAATGTGACCACATGAACGGAGTGTTTAGTGCAGCGTGCACAATATCTTGTCTCGTGCCTTTTGGTATCACGGGAAGAACCTGACTAAAGTCACTCCCAAATACAACCGTCTTCCCACCAAAAGGCAAGGTCGCGTCACAATGGCTGGAGTAACGAAGCACATCTCTCATACTCCAGTCAAGAGCTTCGAAACAGTGTCGGTGTGTCATCGGTGCCTCATCCCATATAATCAACTTAGATAACTATATCACCTTAGCCAACAGACTACCATGTTTTATGTTGCACATAGAGGCTTCTACAACACTAAGTGGAATCGCAAACCTCGAATGTGTGGTCCTTCCTCCAGGCAAGAGAAGCGATGATATACCACTTGAAGCCACGTTAAGAACTATATCACCACGAGATCTCACAGCTGCAGACAAAGTCCTCCATAGATATGTTTTCCCAGTTCCTCCGTGGCCATATAAAAAATAGAATTTCCTGTTTCTACGTATGATCTACATATTCCATTATTCTGTCATACTCAACATGTTGTTCATATGTCATCTCGGCCAACAAATTTGCATGCTCCTCCATCAGATATGATTTATTATACCGCAGTTCTTCATAAATGAGAACTTCTTCAAGCGAGGGCATTTCATAATAAGGTAGCAAGAGTATGCCAGCAAAATCACGTAGTGATCTACCTCTTGACTGCAAGAGCTTCTGAATCTCCAACAAACAGTACTTTTCAATTTTCTCTTGATCCAGTTCAAAATCTGCAGTAACGCATTTAAATATTTTAGTAGGTTAGTTAAGATTAAACTAATAAATAAAATATTCCACAATATATAATGTTTCATCACAACCAAATTACACATACAATACTTTTAACATTAATTAACATGCAAATAAAGAAAACATCTTTACTAATATAATACATTTCATGAAAAGATGCATAACTTTTTTGTATTTTGTTTAAGTGAAAATGTCGAGTAAAAATTAAGTAATAATAAAAGTGCTATTATTTGTATTAATTGATAGACCTTGATTTATTAACCTTTTTTTTATATTTTTTCTGTCAATTTAGTAAATGAAATGAGTTCACTCTAAGTATATATTTTATACTATTATGAAAAGATATTCAAAAGCCATCTAACATAGTAAATAATACTCTGGCAGTAAACTACGTTACTATACTTCATCTTACAAAGTAACGTAGTATAAGCTATCGTTCATATTCTCTAAATAAATATTTTGTAATAAATAATTTTAATAAGGGAATAAACTACTAACATTTATTATATTTGAAAAATATTTTTTATGGTGATCTTTATCACACGCACACACATATGAGTATTGATCACCTCAGATAGTTGTGACATTAAACCCCGTTCGAACTTTCCTATCACAGGTAATGTTAAGATTGACTAGCAATAAAGTTAAAAACAATTTTAATACTTAAATTTTACATATTCAGAAATTACATTGAAAGGAATGTACAACGCAAAATTCAAATAAGAATATTTTGTTTATATGCTAAATAAGTTAATAAAATGAAACTTTATTGACCAAGAAAAGTTGATTTTACAAATCATTTTAGGACAGAGTGAATAATATATTCAAATGCAGTATTTGTATGGCTGGACTTAGGTCGATTCTGTAACGGTTAGTTCTTTCTTGTCTTCGAATTTGGGGTCAAAACTTATGGTTTTGGTTCTCGTCCACCGTGATTTTGTGTTAATATCAAACATTTTGGTTATACCAATTGCGCCTCGTTTTACCTAGTCTTGGACTCGGGTCGGGCCGCCCAGTCTGGGAACCCTCCTGGCCCGTTACTGTGCGGGCCCTGCCCGGTGAATCTAGTATGGTTCCGGGCCTAGGCCCGGGGGTTAGGGTGGGGCGGTCCCGGTTCAACCCACTCTTTGGAACCGGCCCGGCCGGTCCCGGGCCTGGTTCGGGTCTTTTTTGTTTTGTTTTTTCATTTTTTTGGGCTTTGCCTGAGTTGGGCTGGGTGTTTTTTTTGGGGGGGGGGGGGGTAGGGGGTCAGGGGTTAATTAGAAAAGAAAAAAAATTAACATGGACCCGGCCCGGTCTCGGGCCTTCACCCCAAACATCAAAAGCCCGACCGGGCCTAGGCCCGACCCGGACCCGACCCGACCCGAGTCCAACACTAGTTTTACCCTTACAAAGAATCCATATGCGTTGCAATTAATCAATGTTCTAAAAAGGACTAGACACTACCTGGGCGCTAGTCAACGCTTAATGCCCAGGCAGTTAGGTTCCAACAAGTCAGAAACATAGAAATTAGTTTTCTATTTTACAAAAAGATGATAAGTAATACTCGCTCCGTCCCTCAAAGATGTTCCCACTTTCCTTATTTGGATGTCCCAAAAAGAAGTTATCCTTTCATTAAATGACAAGTTATCTACATTAAAACAGTGCCAAACAGTGCAAAACAGTGTCAAACAGTGCCAAACAAATTCAAACAGTGTCAAAGCAGTAAAATTTACCCCCTGGTAAGTTTATTTCCTAAATTTGTGTGTAGGTCAAACCGGGAACATCTTTGCGGGACGGAGGGAGTATCTCCCTATCTCTCTCTCTCTCTCTCTCTTCCCCCTCTACACACACATATTAACATGCATAAATGATAGAAACATCACATTTAATAATATATTATAATTTCAGTTTCCGTTACCAACACGTCCACTTACAGTTACCAACGTCCAATTACCCATAAACCACCGCTGGCCACCGCCATCGCCGACCGCCATCGCCACCGCCACCACCACCGCTGGCCACCACCGCTAGCTGCCAACCCAGCCCTCTCATACGCCAACACCAGCCCCATTTCCAGTGTACCCCAACCCCTCTCCCGCCTACCCTAGCCCCCAACCCCACTGCTATCGCCGGAAACCATCAATGTCCACCACCGCTGCCACCCTCACTCCAGCTGGCAGTCACAAGCCTCCCTGGCCCGTCTCCAATCCAAACCACAGTCCCCTCTTCACCATACCCAACCCCAAATCCCCTGCCACCGCCAACCATCGCAGGCCCGATCACTGCCACCCCCAGCCAGGGATGGATTTAGGGGGGGGGGGCGCGGGGGGGCGACCGCCCCCCTTGGACATTCAATTTTTTTTACCATATATGTAATATTTTCATAAAACTTTCATAATTTAATTATATTCGCCCCCCTTAGCTTTTAATTTTCAAAATTAGTATATAGTCTTACATAATGTAATACTTAATTGAAGATTTAAAAGAAGAAACATCTAAAATAATTTACATAACTTAAACAAATAAACAATAGAGTAACTCGTTATTTAAGATTTAGGATACTTATTATATAAGAATTCCTAGTTTTGCAATGTTTAATTATCTTTATTAGATAACAAGTACAAGATTTTGTAAAACATATATCAAACAATATTAAATACTAGACACACTAATTACACAATTTTTAGATCACGTGAAATGAATCCAAAATATAAATATTTATAGACATCAGATTACATAATTCATTTACTTCTTGCTTTCTAAAAATAATTTACTGCATGGATAGATGATAAACTTTAAATTATTATAGAATTAATAAAAAAATTAAAATATAATATACACCATATATATGTGTGTGTGTGTATGTGATGCATATTATTTTAAAAATAACAATCTCATACATACTAGTATACTACTATTGTAATATTAAGAAAACTTCTCATGAGTCATGACTTACGAACACCCTCCTTGGTGGACAAAAATTACAATTCAATAACTGATTCATGAGGTTAAACAATGTAGAAGTTATTAAAAATGTATTGGTTGATGTCTTTGACATTGTCTAAACTTAGAATGTAATAGATTTAAATGCCGGTTGGGGATGTGCAAGTATTAATGTCATTTTTTGAATAAAAATAGCCGCATAGCCCTACAGTAGCAAAAAAAATTCGCCCCGCTACACTAGGGGAAAAAATTTCACCCCGCTACACTAACAAAAAAAAAATCACCCCCTACACTAACAAAAAATTTCGCCCCCCTTGACTCAAAATCCTGGATCCGTCCCTGACCCCAGCCACCACACCCCGCCCCTAATCCATGGAAGACTGCAACCTCCTCATCCTGCCTAACCACCGCACACCACCGCCCCTCCCTGGCGACGATCGTCGTCGCCCAGGCAGTCCCTTCCCCAACGCCCAGCCCTCGCACGACCATAGCCCCTGTGGCCCTGTATCTCCTCCAGCCCCAACACAACACCGGAAAACCCTAGCACCACGCCGCTCTGTAGCCGAATTGCCCAGCCACACTCGATTTCAAACCCTGGCTGTCGGACAAGCCATTGTCGACCACTGCAGCCCTGTCTTCATCGATTACCGATGGTTCAGCCAGAAGAGAAGAATAGTGGAAAGGAAGCTTCTTGGGACGTTGGTGGCGGAGGCGGTGTAATGGGGCGGAGATGGTGGTGACGGGCATGGCAGAATCGCAGCAGGGGATCGATCGATCGAAGGATTTGGGTCCTTTTTTATCGATCAATAAGGATTGGTCGCATCAGGGTGTTTTAGCCCATTTAGTAATGTTGAGCCTTATTTTTGTCCAAATTAAAAACTAGTCCTACTTTTGTCCAAATAGAAGTCCATGATATTATTTTTGCCATTCTTGCTTGTTTTATTTTGTCAGCTCGATACTCACAACACTATCACTATGCTTGGTAGGAAGGAAAATAGATCATGGGAAGAAATCTTGTAATGAATTAATGATAGGATGTATGTATTATTTAAATTTTGTTATATTTAAATTTTTGATCAATGAAAGTAAAACTTTGACGAATAGTATGCTTTTATATGAAAACGTTTATAATAAGATATATAAATATGACATGAAATTGCACTCAACAGACCGGACCAGATTTTTGTAATTGTAAAATACACAGACACCAAACATGTATCTAACCATTCGAGATAAGCCTGGACTCGGGCCGGGCGGCCCGACCCGGAACCGGCCCGGGCCACCCACTGTAGCAACCGGCCCGGCCCGGTGGCCCGGTCCACCGGCGGTTCGGGTCGAACCGGCCCGGTCCACCGGCGGTTCGGGTCGAACCGGCCCGGTGGATACCGGTTCCGGGCCCGGGCCCTCCATTTGGTGAACCGGCCCGGCCGGTTCGGGCCCGGTCCGGGCCGGAATTAATTTTTTTTTTTTGAATTTTTTTTTAAGTTTTGGGTTGGATTAGGTATTTTGGGCCATTTGAGGTGGTTTGGGGTTGAGGGGGAGGGTTAGGGGTTAAATAAAAGAAGCCAAAAAAAAAAAAATTAAATACCCGGGTGAACCGGACCCGGAACCGCCCACCCCCGGTTCGGGCTCGGACCTCATATTTCTGAACCGAGGCCCGGCCGGGCCCAGGCCCGAGGCCCGAACCGGCCCGGTTCAGTCCAGCCCTAATTCGAGACCTGATCAAACAAGAATATTTCTATCCATGCTATATGCCAAAGTTGCCAAAGTTTATTTCATACTAAGAAAATTTTCGTAATGATAAATATAAGCGGGTATTTATTGTGAAAATAAGGGGTTGCATGTATTTCAAAAGGTCCATCACTCCCAAACACCCCCTCCGAAATTCTCTGTTGTCCGTAACTTATTACAGCACCAACTCCACCAAATAAAACATTCTTCCATACAACATGGCGATGTCTATGCAGACAAGGCTGCGTTTGGAATAGCTTAATTCTGTGAACCAACTTTTGTCTCGCCATTGCTAGAGTTCTTCAGCAACTCCGATAGCCTCAGGGCTAGGCTCTGCTTTGCCGCAGGAGAGACACCGTTGACCCCTATGATTGACTCCAGAACTGCCTCTGAGAGCCGCTTGTTCTCTATTACTGTGTTTGCTGTCTCAGGCATTGACCCATCTTTGGAGAAGCTAATCTGCAATACAAGACGTTAAAGTTTTGGTTGTTCCAAAAACATTATCACTTTTCACCCTCATCAATCAATTTGGACATTAAAGGAGGTGTTTGGAACTGATTCTACTTCTGCTTCTTTTTTAAAGCAGAAACAGAATCAGTTTTCAAAAGCCGATCACCCCAGCTTCTAAAAAAACTGAATTTAGGAGTAAATTCGAGAACCAGAATCATTTCTACACTTTCACCCAAATACTCCAGTTTCTGCTTCTGCTCCCTAAAGGAGCAAAATCATTTTTAAAAATCAGATCCAAACATCCTCAAAGTTTTGAGAGACAGAGGAAGTAATACGTATTACAGAGTGTAATTATAAGTTTAATTTGATATTTTTGTATTTGAATGAGGGTGTATAAGTGAACGACTTATTAGACGGACTTTTAATGTCTAATTTGATCTATGAGAAGTGATCAGGTCCAGCCGGAGGGACGGGAGGCGCCGTCCGAACTCCGCCGTTTGGGGAGGTTCCCGGTGGAATTTGTTGATGAAATTTTTTGAGCATGTTCTTCATCAAGTCTAGTTTGTTCATACCAAATTGCAGATCAAAATTCGACCGGGAAGGCATTCAAATCATTTTTTGAAGTTGACTGTGCCAAAATATACATATAAAAATGCAGTCAACTTCAAAAAATGATTTGAATGCCTTCCCGGTCGAATTTTGAGCTGAAATTTGGTATGGACAAACTAGACTTGATGAGGAACATGCTCAAAAAATTTCATCAAAAAATTTCACCGGAAACCGCCCAAACAATAAAGTTCGGACGGTCCCTTCCGTCCCTTCGGAGGGACCTGATCTTTTCTGTTGATCTATTTATGTTTAATTTGATTTGATAATTGTCTGATTTATCAATATTTTATTATTGGCCAAGACCGATTAGTCAAATCCGAACTAGCGTAGCCTGAACCCGATCTATTTAAAAACATCCTACAAATTGAGATATTCCTCAAGTATGATTAGTCAAGTGACTATTTTTATATATGAAAAAATGTGACTAATAAAGTAATATATTTAGAATATATATGATATCACTATAAGATATTCATGTCCCTTATGAATGTCAATACCAGGAAAACATGTCTCCGCGACAATTGAAAAATTTTCCATCAAATTCTAAAAAGGGATAAGGGTCAGTTTGGTCCTCGAAGTTGCAAAAAAGGGGTCAAATAAGTCCTTATATAGAAAATTCTGTCAGGACGTGCCGTTTGAGGTGGCTCCTGGTGGAATTTTTTGATGAAATTTTTTGAGCATCTTATTCATTAAGTCTAGTTTACTCATACCAAATTTCAGATAAAAATTCAATCAGGAAGACATTCAAATGAATTCTTGAAGATAACTGTGCCGTTAAAAGCGCTGTTATCTTCAAGAATTCATTTAAATGTCTTCCCGATTGAATTTTTAGCTGAAATTTGGTATGAGTAAACTAGACTTAATGAATAAGATGCTCAAAAAAAATTATCACAAAATTCCACCGGGAGCCACCTCAAATGGCACGTCCGGACAGAATCTTCTATATAAGGACTTATTTGACGCCTTTTTTGCAACTTCGAGGACTAAACTGACCCTTTACTCATTCTAAAAAGAAAACTAAAAACTGAAAAAAAAAATCATTAGAAATTTCTGGCTATTTTTTCGGTGGCTTTCTTTTCTGACAGTGGTACTCCACGGTGGTTCCTGTCAATGATTGGGCAGGTGTGGGGTGAGGTGGGACAGAGGTTGGGTATAATAAATTACAATACGAAAAAAATGAATTTATAAAAAAATTGGTCATATTTTTGGAAAGGAGAAAACTAACAAATCTTTGTATTGTATAAAAAATATAAGTAATATTTTACGAAGTATCATGTAAAATTTTGTGCGATTTGTATTACATATTGAGGTTTAAAGTGTTGCATACTTGCATAATATTCATGATGAAATAAAGTTAATAAACATTTGCATATTAATGCTCAAAGTGCTGCATTTGAAAAGGTTTGATTTATTTACTAAAATGTCACCTCTCATTTTTTCCCTTTTCCCTTTCCGGGAAAAGGTGCAAATAGGCCCATGTACTAACCAAAAAAGGTCAAATAAGCCCTTATTTAGGAGGTTCTGTCCGGCCGTCGCCATTTGGAGTGGTTCTCGGTGGAATTTTTTGATGAAAGTTTTTTAGCATCTTATTCATCAAGTCTAGTTTACTCATACCAAATTTCAGCTAAAACTTTAATCGGGAAGGCATTCAAATGAATTCTTGAAAATAACTGTGCAGTTAGAAGCGTAGTTATCTTCAAGAATTCATTTGAATGCCTTCCCGATTAAAGTTTTAGCTGAAATTTGGTATGAGTAAACTAGACTTGATGAATAAGATGCTCAAAAAATTTCATCAAAAAATTCCCCCGGAAACCACCCCAAATGACGACGTCCGGACAGAGCCTCCTAAATAAGGGCTTATTTGACCTTTTTTGGTTAGTACATGAGCCTATTTGCACCTTTTCCCTTTCCTTAATATTCCCTTCTACTATTTCTAATTCACCACTTATGCCTTTCTACTAAAAAAAAGCATCATATCAATACACTTACTTTTTAAGTAAAATGAATCAAGCCATTTTAACATGCTATACCTGGTTATTTTTTAAAAAACTAAATTTAGACTATTGATAAATTTTATAAAACTTCATATAAATTTAAAAAATAATGTGATAATATAAAAAATAGCATAAATTTAAGAATAGATAAAAATCCTAGTAATGGGGCTTAAATGATGAATTAAAAATCCTTTTATCTTTTCATATAATAAAACTTGTGACATAACCCTATGACATAAAGCTTGTTTGTAACGCTCAAATGTGCTTCATGGTCAGTGCCGGTCCTACCTAAATTCGGGCCTGAGTCGAGCTTCATAAAATGGGCCCTGTGCCTAGTGTTTTTATTCATTAAATAACACAAAAACGCAATTCTTAAATTAAAGTCTTACACCGTAACAATATAATGTTACAGTTTATAAAAGTCTTACACTTTAACAATGTAATGTTACGTTTTGTGAGGTTGTACTTTCTGAAGTGACTGTTTTATTCGAAATCAAGTACATATTAATGTCTCCATCCTGAGTTTGAGTTAATGATTCAATACATAATTTCCTTATTCCTCTATTGAAATCCTTAAAATATACGTAGTATAATTTATTGAAATCCTTAACAATATATACTACAGAGTAGTAAATTTCTCTACAATTCTACAAATACAAAGTATATGATTTGATTACTTGTGAAGTGAGAATTCCATAATTCCAATATTGATAAACCTAAATAAAAAAAAGCAAACAAGAATCAACTAGCATTTAAAAATTTACAAATTAACACATTTAACATTTAGCAAATCAATATAAAGTTAGAAAATTTCTTTAAAAATACATAGGTATAGGTATAATAGTAAAGTAAGCAAAAATGGGCCCCTAAATTTATATAAAAGTCATTTGAATGAGTATTTTATGTAGTCCACCCCAAGTTCCCACTAACTTTATTGAATTTGCAATAGTCGTGGCCGAAATGAATGACTGGAATTTGAAGTTTTTTTTTTTTGAACGAGGAATTTGAAGAAGTTGTGACCGAAATGATCGAGAAGCTTCCAAAATATGATTGTATTGATGAATTCTGCTGAAATTTATGAAGTTCTGGTTGAAGTGACTGA